ATCCACGGCTATGTGAGCGCAGGTGGAAGCAGGTGGTGCGAAACAAGAATTATTTGTGTTGATATTACGACGATTTTGCTATCAAAGTTGTGCTTCCTTTAGGATACTCCGTGAGACTTACTGTGAGCGAATGCGTGTCGGCACGGCACTGCCCAACCATCGATGGCAATCAGCAGACCTCAAAATACTCGGTCCGCGGTATAAAGAATCGCTCTGTGGACCACTGTCCTTTGCTTGGTGTGAGAGCAGATTCGGAAAAGAAAAAAGAAAGAAAACAACACCCAGAATAAAATGAATTGATTATTTGATTTCTCCTTCCAATATTCTGAATTCTTCTTTCGCGTACCCCCCCCCCCCCCCCTCCAGAACCAATCCTCAGTACCATGTACGTTCGTCGACGCCGCCATCGTCTTCCCGCGCCCTCCCATGCCCCCCGTCCCCCCATCCACGTCAACCAGCTACTACAAGTAGAAAGAAGCCATCTCCCTAATTTTCGTTCGTTCAACAAAAAGGGAAAAACACCCCTTCCCACCCCCTCTCCAGGTCTCGCTCAACATGAGGGAAGGGAAGGGAGGAGTGTGAGGAGAGAGATGAATTAGCCGACAGCAGACAAGCGGGCAATGAACGGAGGAAAAGGGAAAGGGGGACGAGAGACAGAGAGAAAAAGCCCACGAATCAGAGGGCCGTCCAACGTCCCTTTCCAGAGTTCCTTTCTGGGGGGGGATTCGCGCGTGGCGTGAGCCGGCGCGGTTGGCCGGCTCGCCGGGGCACCCGGGAAGGGGGGAGACGCAGCTGGCGAAACCCAAGCGGCTGGGTTCGACTACCTAGGTACTACCTATCCAGCGAAAAAGGTGGAGATACCCTGAATCTCTGGGCTTTTTCTGGCTCTGCAACACTCCTCTTTGGGTCCCCCCGGTGCAGGATGGAGGAATATATGCATCATGCGGGCCCAGCTCGGGCGGCCGGGGGTGGGACGACTCGGCCGGATGTGCGATTCTGCGGGGAAGTGGACGGGAGCCGTCTCGAGTGGGAGAGGACGCCCGACGGGGTTGGGGGTGGATCTTTTGAGAGAGAGAGGGAGAGAGAGAGAGAGAGAGACGGTTCCCGGACTTTTGCTGCAAGTTTACCAACCAACATGTGACGCTGACGATGTTGTTGGCTGGGCCCGGAGGATGCATACCGGTGAGCAAGGGGCGGATATTGGATACCCATCACGACAGCGCACGTCTCCATCTCGGTCTAGGTTGCACCACGCCACGCCGCCTCACTCGGAAGAGACTCTCACTCGTCCGCTAATTGCAGAGCTCGGCCGGGCTGGGTGTGGGACATCCGCCCGCGCCTTGTATCAGCACCTTGGTTGGAATGTCTCGCCCTGAAGCAACGAGCTTGCGCCCCCCCCCCCCCTGACGCGTATGTGTGTGTAGTCCCCCCCCCCTCGATTCACGCCGTCGACTTCGGCAGCCGTTCCGCGGGCGAGGGGAGATTGGATGGGTCGCATTTTAGCCCCCTTGGGGCTCCGGGGAAACCTTCCTCTGCTCTCTGGCTTGCAATCCTCCCTCCAGTCCCCCCCCCTCCCCCTTCGATGAGTTTATAATGGCTAGCGTGTTAGCGTTACGCGACGAGTCGAATGGAGGAGAGTGGAGGGGGTGTTATGCCTCCGTAAACCAAGAGGGGACCGTAAACTGTAAGCACCGGCTCGTTTTCGTCGCGCCTTCAGCAACTCTACATTCCCGACAAGTTCCTCTCGTCCCTTTTCTGGGATTGGCCCTCGGCGTCTTCACTCACAGGCCTCGACGTGTGCGAGTGCTTTCGCGGCCTGTTCAGCCACGCCATGTCCTCGAGGGCCGACGACCTGTATCTCGGCTCCTCACCCCCTCCGGCTCCGATGTCCATTGGCACATACACACCCCAACCCAAACCTCCGGGTCCTGGCATTCCGGCGCACGAGGGGAGGGGGGGGGGGGGACTGACTGGCTCATCTCCGCTCCGTCCTCCGCCCCGTCCCTAGCTGTGCGGCTTCGCCGGCCCACGCGAGAGTGCTACGGGGAAGCCTCAGCTGGCCAGCCTAGGTTTCGCGAGCTCCTGGGCTGGGGACGGGGCGGAGGTGACGGAGCAGCCAACACGGCCCGCCATGCCATGCGGCTCAGCATGTGCAGCCCAGACACACCCTTCCCCGCGCCCCGCTCGAGGCAGGGCAGGGGGTCCTTTGGTAGTCTAAACCTTGGCTGCAGCCTCGCGATATCTATCAGCAGGTAAGGTAGCATCAACAGTTTTTCTTCTTCTTCTTTTTGCTTCATGCGACGAGAGTCCCGCTTCGATGTACGAGTTAGCTTTCTAATAGCCGGATGACCTGGCGTGGTCTTACATTATTCACGAAAAGCCTGCGTTTGTCTCACGCTACGATGGTGGTGCCCTCCTTTTCGCTTGGTAAGTTTGGCCATGTGGCTTCAAGATTGCTTCCATCCTTCCGTACGCGTACACTCTTTTTTTTTTCTTCTCTTCTTCTTCTTCTTCTTCTTTCATCTAATTCTTCTCTTGAATCATGAAAACCTCTTGAACGTCGCAGTCTGCCGAACCCCCGGAATCACTACACCCCCGGATTACGACGATGCATTGCAAAGGATGCGAGGCAGGTCCACGCCCCCGTCGTCCAAAGAAGCCACAGCATGTTTGTTCTCGAACAAAGTATGCTCGTTTCTGGCTTCTGCCACGAGTCGTCGCCGGTTGTTTTGTCCTCCCTCTTCCCCCCTCCTCCAATCAACATCAAACCGTGCCTTCACGGCAAAACAAGTGACAACCAATGATGTTAGAACGACGTGGGAATTGTCTGGCCGTGGGACACTTCTTTTTTGGCATGTGAAGCAAGCGCCTTGCTCTGACTCCTCCTCCCCCCTCCCCCGCCCTCGACGAACCGAAGTCGCAGGTGTAGCAGCGGAGGGGTGAGCTTCATCTCCATCCCCATATTCTTCTTCTTCTTCTCGCCAGCATGTGAATTGCCCCAAGCTTGTGATTCCGCGATTCAGTCAACCCATTTACCCCGCAGGGTCCCCTGATTTAGCGAGAGAGAGAGCGTGAGAAGAGAGCATCGACAACGGCCAGGGCCCGGGTTTTCCGTCCCAAGTTGCAGGACATCCCCCGCGTCCGGGGAAACCCCATGACCTATTCTGACTTTCTTTTTACACTTACCGTTACACATTGCGGTCGATTGTTAGCCAAGTCAGGCACCCGCAGGCCTTTTCATCTCTCTCTCCCTCTCTCTCTATATGTCTCTCATCCGATCTGTTCAATGCGGAAACCACCACGGCTTGAAAGAAAAAGATAAGGGCATCCAATGAGCGGCTCGCGGGGAAGCGTTGAGATTCCGGTACACTTTTTTTTTTTGACTCGCCCGCGCCTGGCAGGGGGAGGAAACCATCTCCCCCCCCTCAACTTGTACGTGTTTCCCCGTCACTTATATTCACATCTCTCGGTATACGTATGCAGTACGTGCTCTATGCGATGCTCAACTTGGGACCACGAAAAAACGTGATACCCTTTCTCTCACCCCACCCCCCTTCCACCCCTCTCTATTCCTCCGACGTTATCCCTCTCGTCCACCGTTCGTCATGCGCAAACAGCTACAACAGATCGACGGCGACGACGACGACGACGACGACGACGACGACGACAACGACGACGAGGAAGTACTTCATGCGAAGAAAGAGAGAGGGAGGGGGGGGCAAGGTCTGGACCGTTGGCTCTTGCTCATCCCTCTCACGCGTGCTGATACACCGGCATGTTCCTTTGTCGTCTTCGGGTACGCCATGCATCAACTGCGCCGGCAGTTTAGATTTTTTTGCTCGTGACGGGGCGAATGATCCCCCTCCGTCCCCCGCCCCCTCGAATCGCAAACGCTGCCCTTCTTGCGGGCAATGCAGCAGACCCCGTTCCTCAAATCAGCAACCCGCAACCGGAACCGCTGGCCTGCGCAGGAACCGCTCTGCTAATCAAACAAGTGCAATCACGAGTCTGGACGCAGCGCATGGGAAAGGACGGCACAGGACGGCAAACGGACCTGGAGTATCCCAACCGACCAACAGGCCAACCCGACGACAACGTTGCCTGAGCTCTCCTCATCCTCCCCATACGTGGTGGTTTTCTAATTTACCCCGCAAAATAAATAAACAAATAAAAAAGACCGATACAGCCGCTGAAGATAGAACGTGACAGCTCGCTTCAACCACAGCAACGGATGCCGGGGAAAAAGAGAAAAGGGGGGAACACGCGGTGACGTTCCTGGGGGAGGCGAACTTTGCCAACGTCCCAGCACGCTACGACCTGCCCGCCGGATTGGACGCAGAGAGACAGGCACTCAGTCAGTCCAGTCAGTCATATGCCATTTCTGTCCTGCCTCCCCGTCCAGACAACGGCCACCCCCTTCCTCCCCTCCCCCTTCTTTGACGCCCGACGAACAGCATCTTCCCTGTTCATGGAATCGGGCACGAAAGTTCCAGGTTCCCAGGGACGAATTTCCAGGCAAAGAGACGGAAGGGCCTCTCAAACCCCCCAGGGGTTGGCCCTTGAGGTCTTTAATCCCCTGTCGTGGAAAACCGGCCGAAATTTCCCTCCCGGCCCTCACTCACTCGCTCACACACGCACACACGCCCCCCTTCTACTAGTAGTATGTAGTGGCCCTCCGACCCCATGCTCCTCCCGCCCCTGGGACCTGGAAATCTCCGTCACGAGGGAGCCGCATGCCTGAAGAGACCGGTGTGTGTGCATGTCCGCAAAGGAGCCGCAGTGCCCCCGACGCTTACTCGGGAACCTGGGGCCACGAGCAAGGCTGCCTGCCTTGTCTGCCTTCTGTCGTCTGCGGCTACACGCGCGCGACGGTAAGGGGAAGACGGTCAATCACGTAGCATTGGGTAGAGGGGGCGGAGAGAGAGGTTTTCGATGCCATCGTTACCCGGGAGGGAGGGAAAGGTAGACTGTGAAAAGCTCGCCATCTCATGGTCTGTTGCGGATTCGCCTTGCGGCTTCTGGCCCCCAAAAAGAAAGCGAGTCCCGTTCGTCCGTCTACAAGCTGTCTTTTCCGGTGTTGACAAATCGGTGAAATGCGTATGGCCAATATTCCCAACGGTCCCACGTCCGTTCTCGTGCAGATGGATGGATGGCACGAAGAAAAGAAGAAAGAAAAAAAAGAGGAAAAAAGAGACTAATACTACATAGTATACCCACATGGCGGTCTCGGAAGGTGCCTAATTATGCCCGCTATAACGCCGTCGACACCATGCGGGAAACATAATTGGGTGGTTCGCGGGAGTTCGAGCTGTCAAAGGGGGGGAGAGAGAGGGAGACGTGATGTGCTCCACATCGAGCCAAGCTGCCGGTGGAGAGAGAGACAAAAGGGGTGGAAGAAGAAAAAAACCCCGCATGTATCGGAGGTCGCGAAACATGATGAACTTGATCAACACTGGCCCCCCCACGTCTCGAAGTCCAGGCAACGCCTTGCGCAACCGCCGCGGCGGTTTGAAGCCCTACCATGTACACGCCACGCCGTCTTGGAGCCCGTCCATGTCTCCATAGCCTCTCCCCTCCCTCCCGGATCGTCCCAAATCCTGTCTTGGGCGGTTCCGGCTGGCCACGCAAGAAGGCTTTTGGAAGGATGGTCAATGAGACGGCTACCAAAAGCGTAAGAAAGAGGTAAGAATGAGGATGGGCGAGTGACCGACTGAGAGAGTCATGTCCCCGTCTTCAGTGCGCCTGCGCACGTTCCCTTGCGGTATGTTACGATCCGAATCTCTTCACATGTTCGGAGTAGGGGAGCCCGTCAACCGGGTGTGGCAATGTACGCAATGGCAGGTATTCGAGGGCCTGACGTCGACTCGTCCCTTCATGCCTGCTGCCGGTATGTAACCTGAAGGATAACGCCTTTTTGGTTCACGAGGGGACCTGTTTGCCAGTAGGACCCGACGTACAGAAAGGCCCTTTCACCAAAGGAAAAGTGTACATAGTAGTGGCCGCTCGCGAGTCATGGGCCCCGGCCTCTGCTACTGGGGTGAGCCTGGCTCCGGGGCACGGTTCCGTACGGACCCGGGTGGTCGCTACCACGACGTTGGGGCCGTTCGCCAAGGGAAGGGAGGGGGTTCGGCTGCTCTGCTGACTGCTGCGGAGAACTCGCCGCTCTGCTCGAGTCGAGTAGGTAGAGAGGAGAGGGAGACATGAAAAAACGTGGCAGGGAGATTGGTCCTGTCTAGGAGGGGGGGGGGGTGGGAGTGTTCTTCGTTTCTGTGACAGGCCCGCCCCCTTGCTCCCTTGCTGCGACCAAGAAGGACGTGCGCGCAGCGTTCTAGAAGGCATCTTGGAATAATATGAAATTTGGAGAAACGGGTTGGTTGTTTTTTGATTTTATTATATTTTATTTCATTTTATTCCACTCCGTTTTTCCGATTCATCTTCGTCCGTCCGTCCGTCCACACATCCATCCCACCATCCGTCCGTCCGTCCGTCCGCGAGAACGTGGCTTTGCCCGTCCGTTCCTTGTCTTGCCCCTCATATCCGTCTATTGTCAATCCAGCATGTACGCATCATTCATCCGCCACTGCTGCCGACGCTGTTTGATACTGGCATTGAGGAGGCGGGAGGAGGTATCTGGCCGGCGAGTGATGCAACGTCGAGGCGACTTCGCAGCAGTAGGCTTGGCACCGTTCCAAAAAAGAGGCGCACATGGAGATCGAATCTGTCTTACCCGCCCGCAGCGCCGGCAGCTGAACCATAACCAAACTGCCGGGTGTGCGGTGTGTGTGTGTGCCTGCTGTGTACCGAGGTAGCAAACAATAGAATAACAGTTTTGGCGAGACTGTGACGGACGGTGACGAGTCGGCAGTGCGGGAAACGGACGGATAATACGAAATGGCACAAGAAGAAATTAAACATATAATAACCGTTAAATAAAAAACCAAAGCGTCAGAGTTACGCAGGGGGGAGACAAGTCGGCATGCATCAAAAACGGAACAGGGCCTGGGAAGTCGACCCGTAGTTCCCCGAGACCCAGGAATCGGACATCAGCCCGACGACCACACAAAGCTGGGCAGGCGGAGGCGAGCGTCTGGAATATTAGAAGAGGAGCAGGAGGAGGAGGAGGAGGAGGAGGGGAGGGGCAATAACAACAATCACGGTCGGGCTGCATCGAGAACTCGGCGGCCATCGCTCCCAGTTCGGTCTGCCATCCGGAGGGATAGCCGGCGCCCAGCGACGTTCTGCTTTGACAGGAAAAAGGGTCCTGTGGCCAGCCATCAAAGCGCGCAGCAGGCACACCATGCGCGGCGGCTCACACGCACGCAACACTCTCTCCGTTGCATCTCCCCTGGTCGAGGGCCGTTTCTTCCGTTCTTTTCCTTCACCCCCTCCCCTGCGGTCGTGCGCACAGTATCCCAGTGGCCCCGGGAGAAAGGGCAATGTTGCTGGTCTCTCCCCTTCTCTATCCGTACAGAAACGAGGCAGACACCTCCTCGTGGCCCTGCAACCCCCCCCCCCCCTCTTGGGGTCCCATGGGCGTCATTTCGGCGCATGCGAGTTTGGTCAAGTGACGATGGGCCTGTAAACTCTCTTCTGGCGAGGCTGGCTGGCGAGGTCCTTTCCCTTCAGGCCCCCGAGATGGGACGAAGAGGGGGAACGAGGTTTCATAAACTTCCGGATATTGCACGCTCGGAGGGGATGGTGACGCGGAGCCGCCTGCGATTTGCGAAGCGCCGCCAATGGAGAAGGGGAGGGTAGGTGATTAGAACGGACGCCCGTAGTGATTCGTCATCCATCATCTTTCCTCGTTGACGGCCCTCAGCACCCATCGCCGATGGCACGGCGGGTTGCAGCACGGCAATCAGGAAGGACTCTGCTTTGGGTGGCCTTCCAACGGTTGCAGACCAGGCTCGATGATGCCCCCGGGACGAAACTGCTAGTTGGCCAAGCCAGGGGTCAATGTTTAGCCAAGTCGCGCAGATATTGTACAGGATTCGGAGGTTCCACGCCTCTCCCCCCCCCCCCCACACTTCCCATCCTCCTCCTCCTCCTCCTCCCCGGTTCCTTGCGCGGTCTTTACCGTCGTCAGGAGCGCACTCTGAAATCGGCGGCCTGGGCGCTGGCACCTGGCATCGCGCATGAGCGGTGGCCCGCGCCAGCTGCCAAGGTACATGTTGCTTGATGCAGTCTGACACGCATGGGAACGCCGGTGGCCCATCTGTGGCTCATCACGGGGGGCGGAACGGGATCCTGATTGGGGGGAAGTGTGAGATTGCCGGAAAGTAAGTAAGAATGATGAAATCGATCAAAGGGAAATAGAAAAAGAAATATGCATTGCCAGTTTCTGATTGGCATAGAGTCTGCGTCTGCAGCGCGAACTGCTTCTGAAAATCCGATGTCGGGCCACATGCAGATGATGCGCGTCGGCATAAGGCCGGCGGATTTCTTTTTTCTTTCGGACGTGACGTATGAGGCTTCGTACAGGGAGCCCAAGCTCTCACGGACTCGAGCTCGATTCAGCTGCCTTGCCTTGCCTTGCGCCGCCAAAGGAGGCGTCGGTATCTCCGGCAGGCCGTGGCGAAGGTCACATGAGCAGCCTGCCGAAGATTGCCCCCTTCTCCTCCAGCCGCAATATCGATATACTTGATGAATAGCCGGTACCGGTAGTTGCAACACGGATCGCCGTGGCGAGGCTGTTTGAGGACCACTGCCGGCATAATGGGAGGAAATAAGGGAGGAAAGGAGGGAGAGGGGTGGGGTGAGGCGAGAGCATAGCCGCGCGATGGCCGTGCTGGGGGGGTGGCGGCGTGGGAGACGTCGCCGAGTACGTCGTAAACAACCCGGATTGTGGGCGCATCGTGATGAGAAGCGCGTAAAGTAAGGTTCCCCTCAGGGAGGTTGGTCAAGTGAGTGGTGACGTTGAGATTATTCTGGCCACACAATGCTGTCGAAGACTGTCATGGGGAAGCATCCGGGTTACGTCTCGGATGAACACTGCGTCGTATTTCCATCCAATAGGGCGTCCTCCGGCTTTGATAACCGGTGGACTTTATTCCATCAGAAGAATTATTCCATCAGGTTTTCCCCTCCTGAAAGGTCTGATGCGATTTGTCGATGACCACGTCGGTAGACGGTTCTCCAACAATTGCACATTTAATTCGCAGTAATTACGCTGATTTCTCGATTTTTATTTATTTTATTTTACTTTATCTCCGTGTCTGCAGAATCACCATGTTCTATCCCGAGCACAATACGCCGAGACCGTCGTAGAACCAAACGCAGTCACGTGGAAACGCCGACAGACGTCGCGGTATGCGGACGCGGTATGCGGACGCGGTATGCGGACGCGGTATGCGGACGCGGTATGCGGACGCGGTATGCGGAGCATTGAGACAGCAGCTTCAACGCCGGGCCCGGCCCCACAGTCGGCGGAGACGCGGCGTCAATCAATCACCCGGGCCACGCGGACCGGGGCTGTGACGCCGGCGGCGCCATCGGCGCTGACTTCCTCCTTGTTCACACAACGACCAACTTATTCCCACCACAAACCTGTCACCAGCAAACGAAGTCTCGCGCCGATGCCACCAAACGCGAGTCCAGCCGCGGGGGGGCGGGCTGGAATTGCAATAGCCTAAAGCGCTTGAATCGAACGTAGGGAGCCTCATCTGGAAAGCCATCCCGCTCCATATTGCCCGTCCCCCCCTCGGTTGCCAGTTTCTGCGGCGTTGGACGAGGTCAAGTGACGATGGCGATGGCGATGGCAAAAACGAGAGCTCGTGTGATCGCGCCCCAAACTCAAATGGGATCCCGATCCAACACACCCAAATTAAGAAACCGGAAAGCAACCTTGAACGCCGGCACTTCGCGCCCCAATGAAAGCCTCGTATGCGCTTACACGAAGTTCTGGGCGGACTCGGCCCACGCCAAGTCAAATTTAGCACTGCGCGACCGCCGCTAGCTCGACGGCGCGTCCAGCACAAAAAAGATGAAAGAAAAAAAGTGTATTCGTGGCGTCGCCCATTTCCGGCCACGGACCCGCGATCCTGTTCGTCTCGGGGCTGCTGGGTCGGTTGGTCTGTCCGGGACGGGTCGGCTTCCAGACCTTGCGACGTGGTGAGACGCCGCAGGTCAGAGGCGAGGGGGCGCAGCCAAGCGCAAGCACGCAACCCTTTGCCGGAACAAAGCCCGACGAACGTGTCGAAGCATCGGCCAGAAGGACGGGGACTTGTATTCCGACAGAACTCCGGCCTCGGGTAGCCGGAAAAGAGCGAATTGTCCGGCGAACGGGGGTCGGAAAACCAAAACGAAGTCGTCGTCGTCCCTGGAACCGCCGGGCCAACCCTGATGGGTGAGGAGGGGAGTGGCGTGTTCCGAGATGATGAACCAAGGGACAACCAAGCAATGCCCGCCCCCGTGATTGCATCAACTTGCCATGTTAATTTTACTTCAAGAACACGGGACCTCAAATGTGGCCAAGAAAACACGCTACATCAGATTATCGATGCATTTCCTACCCCAGTATCTCGGCAGTTGCCTGCGGAGTCGGCTGCAGGGCCACCTCGGCAGAGGCGGGGGGGGGTAATCATTTTACCCAAAGTGCAAGCCTCCTCCCATCCCCTCCCCCTTTCCCCACGGGGTAGCAAAGGACGGTCGTGACCGGGTGAAGGCGGCGGCGGTATGCCTTCCCCTCGGTAAACGTGTTTCGGCTATGGAAAAAAAAAATTAAAAAAAAAAAAAGTGTTCGAGTTGAGGCGACCTCGCTCGGGAATGCCGGGGTAGGGGGGGACAAAGGTTTACACATGTATCTCGCGGGGAGTAGGCCTAACCGCCCACGTCGACAGCTCACGATATAAAGACACCCTCACGACGATGCGATGCGCGTCGTCGCAAGGGCGGGGCCGCATGCAAACCCTCTCCGTTGGGTCTGGGGCCAAGTTGCCGTGATGTGTCCTTATTCTGACTCGGCCGACGTTGGCTGCCGACTCGGGCTCAGCTTCTGCAGGCCAATCTCGGACAGCTCCCAGTACAATGACGCGGTTCGCGCTCCTTTGGACGAAAATGTCCAAGCACCTGATCATCATTCAGCCTGACAAGTCAAACTCAAGTGGCAGGGCGTGAAGCCAAAACACTGAGCAGAAAAAGCGAAAGGGGGCGGGAAAAAAAGAAGGGGGGGCAGATGAGAACGGAGTAAGTGATGATAGAGTTTG